TTCAATCTTTAAACTGTTAAAAAAATATGAATTTATAGACATATGTTTACATTTAGTATGTTTTATGTTCTATGGAAATACCCCTATTTCCAGCAAAATTATGAAAATTCGCGTATTTTTGGTGTTTTAAACGAAAATTAAAGTATCAGCACAGTCCAGCCCCAACAAAATCATTACACCATTGTGTTGTAATGACTCAAAGGCTTCAACTATATCAATATAAAGTTGGGGCTTGCCTGTGCTCTATTCCAAAATAAGATTTTTATCTAATATCTAAACGTTATTTTCTGGCATTAATTTCAGTAAATGCAAATCATGGAGCATGTATATTGCACTCAACATTATTATTTTTGTATTCTAAGTTGTTGAAATATGATTCATAACATATATTTTAATAAATGTTTGCAGGAAAATCATTTCTAGTAAATTAAAGGCACTTTCACTAAAATAAGTACGATTATGTTTTGGTACGAGTTCGACGGTTTCCACTGTAACGGTTGTAAACAAAACTCTGGCAGGTTAAAAGAATTATATGTAAACGCTTATAAATAAATGCTGAAATTCTACTTTTGCCTTAAATATTTCATTCTTAGAATTAGCAAGGTGTTGTTATGTAATTTTATTGATTCTGCTGTTCAAGCTATTTTATTGCTGAATACTTGATCTGGGTCCGGTTCTTTCGCCCTCACAAAAAAACAACAACAACAAACAACTGTGGTCATTTAAACACAGTGATTAAGAGGTTTTTATGTCTTTTTAAAAGGTAGATAAGAAGAATTCAATTTACTTTGTGAAAATAAAATTATCGCAAGTCTCAAAACAATTTAAAGATATTGTATATAGAGTATTTAAACTTTATAATTCCACATCGTCTGCATTGATGTATATGTAAAACTACTTGTTAAATGATGTCATAGCATCCCAGAATGTGGCTTTAGGTCAGTGGTAGCACGGGAGTCTCTCACCCAGGAGAATTGAGTTCAAAACCTTGATCATGAATTTTTTTTTTTTTTTTTTTTTTAATAATTAATAAAATAGATAGTGCTTTTTCAGTAAATAATATGTTATTTTATTAATGTATTTATTCCTTCAGATTTTAAGCATTTTAAGTCAGTGCTATTTCATAGTTATTAAGGTATTAAAGATTTGTTAGACATTTAATTGCTTAAAAATTCAACAAGAAGTTTCAAATCTTATTAATTTAGTATTATTCTCATTAAAAAATATTCACAAGAAATTGCCAAAGCAGAAAATGTGTTAGGAGTCAACGGACGAAATGTCTTCAGTAGACTTTCCCAGCTTTAGCTGTTTGCAAGAATAACTAGACAGAAAGTCTTGACTTGTCTTTTTCACAATTCAAAAGGATCCTTTTATTTTGTGCACGAAATTGCAGAGCATACATGTAAGCAGCCATAACTACATGAATTGGATTATCTACACGAATGACAGCATTGATGTGTATTAATGCCTTTCTTATGGCTGGTGCACACGTAGTTTGAATGTGTTCCGATGTCTCCACCGTTACATGGTATCTCGCATATGGACACCATGAGAAGTTGTGAGACTCAGTCAGGAGTGAGAAAATGGGCTGATAGTCTTGCTGATCATGTATCGGTATTTTGAAATTGATAGCCATTCAATACAGTGTGAAAGATAATCGTTAAAAGTAACAGTATAAGAGACAATGCTAAATTAAATTTTTGATTGTAGGCTTCCTTATGTTAAGTGTTTAATTTACACTCATTATGTAGATGTAAGGGCATATTGGAATGATATAAACCAAATCTTTACTTAGAGTTGTTTTATGTCACATAAATTATGAATACATGTAAATAAATGTTTTATGCCCTCGAAGGATGGCATATTAAAATCGAACCGTCCGTCTGTCAGTCTGTCATTCCGTCAGTCATTCAGGCTTTATACATATAGACAGTGGTGGTCATGTCCGCTCTGATTCAGTATGCATGAAAGGATTTTAATTTTTCTTTCATATATGAAATAACCATAGATGTATGGTTTGTCGCGAACAAGACTGGTTTCTATGACTTAGATCCAGGTAATTGTGGGGGTTCAAACTTTGTTAATTTTGATATTAATATACATATAGGCAGATATGGTCGTGTCTGCTCTGAAAATAATATGCATGAACTTCGGATTATATTTTTTATTTCACATATGAAATTATCATAAATGTATGATGTGTTGCCTTTAAGACCCGTGTTCCTACGCCTTAGTTTAAGGTCACTGCTGGGGTTTAAACTTTTTCAATATTTATGTTATATACATATAAATAGTGGTTGTTGTGTCCGCTCTGTAACTTCCGTATACATGAAAGTTTCAATTTTATTTAAAAATATAAAGCCACCATAGATGGACAATGTGTTGTGAACAAGACCTAGGTTTCTTTGTATAACTTATAGTTCACTGCTGGGGTTCAAACTTTGTCGATTTTTACCTACACACTTAACATGTAATAGTTGGTTTAGAACTAGAATCCTTCAGGGGCATTTGTCACGTTCTGTGACAGCTCTTGTTTTTTCTCAGTTCTCATATCGTCATGAATCATTACATTACAATTGTAATAAAAGTCTGATTTCCATAATTATAAATAACACAAATCGTTTTCTGGATTTGGCTGTATCATAATTCATAAAAGAAAATAGTATCGAATTTGCAGTTCAGTATCAAATATTACGTATACTCCGAAAGAGCATAGTACAGTCAAACATTATTTTTACTTGACAAAAAAATTCTAACGTACTTTTATATCTATAAATTTACTTAATTTAGGCGGACTTTTACACTATACATTGGAATAAGTCAACAACTCCTACCCCAGTAAAAATTACAGTGGAATACCACTGGAATACCACTAGAATACCGCTGGTATTCCAGTGGAATACCAGCGGTAAATTTTGGTGGTATTCCACTAAAAGTTTACCGCTGGTATTTCAGTGGAATTCCACTGGAATACCAGTGGAATTCAACCAAATTTTACCGATGGTATTTCAGTGGAATTCCACTGAAATACCAGCGGTAAAATTTGGTGGTATTTCACTAAAAGTTTACCGCTGGTTTTCCAGTGGAATTCCACTGAAATACCAGCAGTATAAACTTTTGTGGTATTCCATTAAAAGTTTACCGCTGGTTTTCCAGTGGAATTCCACTGAAATACCAGCGGTAAATTTTGGTAGAATACTACCAAATACAGAGCCGGACGGACAGTGCGATTTTAATATGCCCACCTTCGGGGGCATAAAAATCACTGGATATAGTAGTTGAATTAAAATACAAAATCATTCCAAAGAGCAGATATAATAGCAAATATTTTATATACATTTGTTGGATTTATATATATAATAGTAAGTATTGAGTCTCAACACATTTTTTTTAGATGTAGAATATTTCCCTAAACTAAACAGTTATTTTGGTTATTCTCTTCTGCTTTGTTTTATAATATTTCCTTGTTAAAGATGCACTCTTACTCCCAAATAAGATTTCCTAAAGTTAATAATATTGTTTTAATAAAACACAAAAAGTGCAAGAACAGTTCATGAAAGTTCCTAAACTACATTTACATTATTTCACATTCATGAAAAATGCAAGAACAGAGCAGACAGATGATACCAATCAATTTGCGGACTGACAAGTCTAAACAATATGTACTCAACATAAGCTCTAAGCTATATTGTTCAAAAAGTAAACCCACAAACATGTAAAACTACATGTAAAATTTAAAAAACTACACATCTTTGTTTAACAAGAACTAAGAAATAGTTTCTTCAATACAGCTTGCTGATTTTCAAAAGTGCAAAAACCAAGAACTTGAAATTAGTTTTTTTAGTTTCCAATGTTTCACTTATTTTGTGATTTATTTCCTTCTGATGACCTTTTGTAAGTTCTCTAGTTTTTTATTAAATACTTCTTTTGATACACCGGTTTTCTTCCTCACTAGTCTTTAAAGATTGCTGAGTTTCAAGGGTTCAAGTGGTGGTCTCGGGGAATCCTTGCACTTATTGGTCACCTTTCCAGTCCTAGAGTGGGTTCCAAGTTCCTCCACAGTGAAGATAGTCTTTGCTAATGTAACCAAGACTTCTTGAGTATCACTTAGATGTTCCACAGTGTTTCTGCCAGAGCGCGTTTTTGCGTTTTTGGCGCACTATTTTCAGCCATGACGCAATGAAATTTAGTTAGTGCGTATTTTGTGACGCAAGAATTTCACCGTCGCTGATTTCAACACAAGTCAGATATACAGACTATAAACCGTCAATTCAGTATAAAAATGTACGGAATGTTTACCGTGGGCTCCACTATAATTTTAATGAGAAATGAAATTTACCGGGTCCGTGGTCCGGCATTTAGCCTATTTCAACTAGTTAATAAACGCTTGCATTTATACGTTACTGCATATATTGAAAGCGCCCAGACAAAATTATTTATTTTGTTGTCGTCATATTCTGCGAACGAATAACTGTTCTGCTGGAAAATGCAGTCTGCGTATATGTTAGTGTTCATCTGTGCTGTTCTACAGAAATTAGAAACTTCGAAGGGAGCGATAGCGACAGGAGAATGTTTTCTAATTTCTGTAAAAACAGCCAAGGATGAACACTAACATATTTAGTGTCAAGCTTTATTTGGCCCTTGATTACGTCACTAGGCGGTACTACGAAGCACTATGAAAATTAGAAGGCGACTATGAACGAATTTCAATATAGTATCGACTTTCTTTCTTCTATGAAAATTAACACACATAATTTTTAAGAAATACAGCGTTATTATTGGATGACAAATAATCCAAAATAGCAGAGATTGACCAATTTCTTCACGAAAAATATACAAAATATTGTAAATAAAACTTATAAAGTGTTACCTGTTTTTTTTTTTTTTTACATTTTTGTTAAATTTATTGGCATGACCCTTATGAATTTGAAATGACCCCTAAAATATCATACAGGGGGTCATAAAAGACCCTCAGAAAATCAGAGCTGGCAGAAACACTGGTTCCACAGCTTATAATTCGGGGTCCTCCACTTTTGTATTCTGACTCTCTAAAGCAGTAATTCGCTCCTCCATGCGCCGAATCTTTCTACACAGGCTTCTGCACTCATCCTCCCATCTAGTTTAGAAATACCAAAAAAAAAAAAACAACAATATAACGTCTAGTGTTTGAAATGACAGTTTTAAACATCACACAAATGTTACGAAAAAATGTGTTTCCATAGTACCCTTCAAACCTATTTTTATACCCCAGTATCAGGGTAATCAGTTTTTCATTAATATTTAAGAAGAAAAAGCTAATTATGCGAATTTTAATCCTTGTGAAATTAGACTGAATTAAGATTACGGGAATTTTTGGCATGAAAAAATATCTGGTTCTACTGTAGACAATTTTAAAATTGGGTCCTTGTAACCTCAACTATATTGCTTACCCGTCAGATCTAGCCTCAACCACACGACCCCCAGCAGTTCCTGCCTTTTCGATGAACTTTCACATTGGACACTGTCAGCAGGACCTATAATATTAATCACAATCAAGAAAATTCTAACATCATAAACAATTGACCAATATCTTTAAAATATCCTGATCGACAAACCGTATCATTATAATTTTTTCAATTTGCATGTTCTAAGTAATGTTTTAATACTCAAAATATCTTGTTCAAGCATGTTCAACCACTTCACATCCTGCCCCTTACTAATACAGTAACAGATTACCATGACCAGTGTAAATTTTAGAGAATTTAGTTAAATATTTAGTAGAATAAATTATAAACTGGAATACGGGCCAGTAAATTCAAAAAATCTTAAATTCAATGCCTGAGAATTCAATTGTATTCAGGTCAGTGCTACAAGTATGACACTGTTTATGCTATTTATGTTCTTTGCAAATCATCATGTGGGATTTACTTTAATGGACCAGTATTCAGATTCTCTAGTAAAAGCTTAGGCAGTGTCAAAGACAAGCTATTTAAGTTAGGCCGTATCCTGGACCACTGACCTATAAATTTTGGTGGCCCACACAACTGTTTAGTGGTCCAATAATTCCTATAAATGCACAGAAATCTAGAGATTAAATCCAACACCCCCCCCCCCCCAAAAAAAACAAAAAAAAACAACAACAACAAAAAACAAACAAACAGAATTCTGCAAACATGATTTCTGTGCCAATTAAATTTTTGGATTTAAAAATACAGTCAGTCATGTGCTATTTTCCTTGTTGATCATATTCCATTATAAAACTACATAAATTAATGGTGATATAAAAATATTGTCTCTTTATAAAAAACTTTTTTTCTAATATAAGGGAAAATTGCTAAGGTAGTGAACTGTCTGCATACTAGTGTGTTTGAGTGTCTGGGGATAAAAAAAACTTGCTACCATGCATTTTTCAAAAAACTATTTTAAACTAGATTCTCATCTTTTAGAAGGCATTAGCAAATAATTGTCTGCAGGGAAGCAGAACCGTCTTCAATCTTCAACGATGCTTTGTTTTTTATTCATTTTATATCGATCATTTTCAACAACAAAGAAATAAATACAAACGGGTCGCGAAAATATGTGACAAATGTCCGTTTACGCAATATTTCCAGTAAGGTTTAAGTATCTAAACTGTAACTAGGAATGAGCTGGAAATACAATTATTATTTCTATTGTTACAGTCGGCATTTTGTTACAAAATAATGCTTTTAGAAGTGAAGAAAGGTCATTAAAATAATTATAGACTCTTCATTTTTTTCTTGGAGGAGTCATAAACACGCCGGTTCAGTTTGGAAAAAAAATCAACTGGTGCATTTATGATAATACTCACAGTGAATTTCACCGATTGCAGCTTTGAAGGTCTTCTTCTGATAATTTGCTTGAGCAATTTCACCTTCCTCGTTGTATATCTTTATTGGGGAGACGATATCATCAGTTCACTGTTGATTTGAGACGAAGTTTTTGCCGTCTTTGAATATTGCGCGCTCAATAAACCTGTGTACTACGCAATAAACATGTGTACTACGTCAATAAACATGTGTACTACGTCAGTAACATGTGCTCGATTTTCATAATTTCGTGTAAATCCGTTGTTTTTTGCCGTCAATACAATGACCATACATGCCATAATTTTTAGACTCATTTCCGGACACTTTTCATTTGAAGGTGGGCATTGATCAGCAAACGTATTTCTTTTTTTTTTTAATTTACATAGTAGCATACAACCTATAGGCCATATAACCGGTAATTACAACTTGCAAATTTAATGACACCATAAAACAAAAGTCAGAATGTCAATAATTATTAACTGTTTTTCTATCTTTTTTAAGTATTTAGGCATCGTTAATTCAATCAGTCACAGAAAAGAATAAAGCTTTGTTAAGTAATGACAATTACCCACGTCGTTTACATGTACCTGAAACATTCGCTGAATCTTGTATTTTATCACCTCATATTTAGCGGTAATTTTCACGGTGTTTGACCACTAATAAATGTCTCCAGGCAGATTAAATTTATACTGTCCAGTTGGCCAGTGTATGACACCTTCACTCAGGAAGCCACAAGGGGTAATTAATCTTTTAATTAATCAAAATTATTGCCGATAATTGTTTGTTGGAAGGGGCACGTAGATATACCAATCAAAGGATTAGTGTCACCATTGCATTGCAATGCTGTTAGGGGATAATCGTTTGTTATAAGCGTTCTAGATAAGTTTACAAAAACTTGACAATTAAATTATATAAAAAAAGTAAAATTTCTTGCTTCAAAGTAGATTATTTTAGATTTTTTTTTTACCGGGACATAAATCATCTCCGGGACAGACACCTTATTTCAGGGATTGTCCATGGCATGTATGACAATGACTGAATAATTTTGATTATATCATTGAGGCCTACAAATTTTATTTCACAAATCTATTATTTTAAGCCCAACAGGCACTTGAATTTCAAACAAAGCTACCGTAGTTTCCAAAAATTTTGTGTTGCTACTTCATCAGTATACGTATCCAATATGTCATGAATTATGCCTATATTTATCGTCTTGGTTAGCGTAAATATACAGATATTGCTCGAGTAAAATCGTTAATGTTTGCTAGGTAAGTAAAGGGTAAGTTATCATCGTTAATTTTCGTCAGCATCTGAAGTACATGTTAATATGACCTGCCACATACACTTTCATATTTAAAACAAATAAAGAAGAAAGCACTACTGCAGTATATAGATAGATAAGTTGTTTGAGTAAAAATTGGGGAATTTTATTAAAGAATCGACTGATTGAATTTCCATGGTCAAGCAATAAAAAAAAATACTGATGTCTTTATTTTATGCAAAAAACTGTTTTGGGCCTGTGCTAATCTGCCCAGGTCTTTATCTATTTCTTGACCAGTAATCATTCTATTTCTGTAGTTATTTAATAACAAATCATGAACACATGGTCTTCATCAAAAGTTCTTCAATAATTCATGATCCTAAGTTCATGAACCTTTAAAGAATTTGGTTTCGTTCTTTTTATGCCAATGAACAGTTCATGAACAAGCTTGTAGAACTGTTCATGAACATAAGTTCTTGAACAATCATTATGAAGTCTTTAGGACCAGTTCGTGACTGTTCTTAAATGTATTGAAAAGTTCATGATTTCAAGAACACTATTTCACAGGGGGGATCGATATACTGGTTTGAACCATGACTGTCTAATCATCCAGTAAATTTATACTATGATTGTATTTCTATCATATAATTGAAACATTATATTATTCAATTGTTTTTAACTGTGAGTAAATAATTCAATTACTTAATTGTAATGACTATATTGATTATGATGTTTACCCTAGAATTCTATTTTTGACCTCAGATTACCAACATGTATACACACAAATATGATCAGAGACAACTTGGATGGTACTTTTTTTCATGTCGTAATTGTACATACCAATGGTAAAAATTAGTCCACTGGAAGTGTCCTTATTAAATTGTATATATATTATAAAGTCACCAAGTTCACTGGAAATCCAGTGGTTTACAACTGAAATTAATTTGACCAGTGGCATACCACTACTCAATATAGGTTACCAGTGAAAAACCAGTGGAATACCAGTGGAATTATAATAACCACTGAAATGCAGTGTTATTCCACTGGTATTATGTAGTATTCCAGTGGAATACCAGTGGATTTATGGTTACCACTGGAATACAGTGGTATTCCACTGGTATTCCACTGACATTTTTACTGGGGTAGTATATACATTATACTATTTGCTTACATGTATATAGTTACTCACTGTCAGTGTAAGTTTAGTTAGGTTAGACAGAAATACCTATCTGTTTTGTGTTATTATAATATAATAATAATAATAATAATAATTATCATTATTATTATTATTATTATTATTATTATGTTCAACGTCCTTGTCTAAAGACTGACTAAAAAGGCCGTTAAAATTGCGATTGATTCTATACACCCTTATTTTAAGCGTAATGTAAGAAGTAGATGAATATAACAAGCAAATTAGACATTTATTTTTAAAAAATGAACAAACTTACAGTATTTAATAAAGTAAAAATAAATACATTTAGTTAGGCGAAATATAATATGCATGCACATTTTTACTTCTAAATATCCGAATTTGGAATATCCGAAACGAGCCCCATTTATCTTTTATATTAGTTTTGTGACACACTAGTCTAATTTTAACTAAACTATAATTTTGTTTACAATATATAAGAAATATATTGCTATCTTTATGAGTTTAATTCAGTCAAACACACAAATTTATTAGTCTTGTATGAAAATTGTCGTCAAATTTGTGATTTAATTGAATTAAGCAGGTGCTCTAATTATGACGTCATTATGTCGTCATAGTAACCAGAAATGCCTAATAAATGTCTATTTTGAAAATGTAACACATTGTACTATACACCTTTAGGTTTTTATCAATATCTAAGATGGGGCCATTTTTGGTGCTTAGTAAACCTTGCTCTTTACCAAGTTATTAATTTAAATAAATTTATTCATTTATCTTTGGGTTTTCTTTTCTGATTTAAAGTCCTATGAATGGTTCAGTTTTATATATTTTGAATCATTTAGCCACAGGCAAGCATCATAATGTCTCTGACTGGCGAATACTTGTACTCAGGATTTGTACTCGAACTATTTTCTTATCAACAAGCCTATTTAACCGCAACAATTAGAAAAACCAAAATTAAGGTATATACAGCCAGTCAAAAAATAATATTTCTATCCATATATTCATCAATTTCCTGGACTTCTATCTATTTGATGAATTTCTTCAAATAGTAAATCTTTCATCTTATTTTATTCAACATATAAATATTAAAAATTTATTTGTATGTTTATATATAGCTTGAATAGTCTGTAATGACTAAGATAGACAGATAAGAACAAACAATTTAGTAAACATGAGTTACATCCCTTAAAATGAAGAAAAAACTGAAACCCAAAAGAAAGTGCCATGAACAGCAAAATTATAAGCATTTGACTTATTTTGGCAGATAAACCAAATAAAATATTTTGAATCTATAAACAGTTATGTTGAAATATCTGATTTAAATGTTTTGTTTTTATGAAATGCTGCAGACTTGGTTAGCCAATTAGAAGGTAGTGGTGATAATTATGGGTCAAAAATTAATCAAATGTTTAAATGCATGATATCATTTTCAAGGGATATTCTTCTGATATGATTTACTTTTAATAATGGGTCATTATCAATTCAAATGTTTCTTTGATATCTATGCCCATGCTTTATGTAAATAATAGATTAATGACATGCCAGCTAGATACATTGTATCTCAGTCAGTACAGCCCACATGTACATGTATGTATAATATTCTGAGGAACCCAGGTTTGATTCCAGTCAAACACATGTATAATATTCTGAGGATCTCAGGTTCGATTCCTGTCAAGCGGCATATTTTTCTTATCCTGTGATATTTGGTGCAAAATGTAGAATATAGTGCTTATAAGAAGTATATTCTGTTATTCATGAAATGAATTGTGAAAAAAATTCAATATGGTAGGAATGTCACAGTGTAAACTGTTCAATAACAAACCTTATATCTCATTTGGTAGAGCTGTGGTATTCAATGCATGTCAGGTTTGAGCTTCACTTAGGCAGCATATTTTCACCCTGTTACTTTTAGGGATCCAATATGAAGCTATGGTGATTCAAGTCAATTCACTTTGTCACTTAAGTGTTCCAATGAATATAACAAATTTCAATAAAGTGGGGGCTATGTCAATGCAAAGATGAGAGAAAATGTTTAAGCTCACTCACAGTAGACCTGGGGTATAGTATTTAAAGGGTTCTCTGTTTTTTGGTAGTCCAAATGGTTTCCGAGTGATACTTAGAGAATGCCTAGGCTTATGAACTTCATATTAGTATGTGAGTGTTGTGTTCATGACCAGAAAATGACCCTAGTAATTTTGGGGTCATGAGGGCAAAGGTCAAGGTCACATCGACCTTGTAGGTAAAAACGGTTTCCGATGAATAACTAAAGAACACTTAGGCCTAGGAACTTCAAACTTGGTATAGTAATTGATCACAACAAGCAGATGACCCCTTTCGATTTTGGGGTCAAGGGGTCAAAGGTCAAGGTCATACTGACCTTTTAGGTAAAAACTGTTTCCAATGAATAACTAAGAAACGCTAAGGGCTAGGAATGTCAAACTTATTATGGTGATTGTTAATGACAAGTAAATAACCCATTTTGATTTTGGGGTCAAGTGTTCAAAGGTCAAGGTCACATTGACCTAGGTAAAAACAGTTTCTGATCGCTTAGTCCTAGGAACTTGAAACGTGGTATGGTGATTGTGTGTGACCAGCAGATGACCCTATTGATTTTGGGGTCAAGGGATCAAAGTCACACAGACCTTGTAGGTAAAAACGAATTCCAATCAATATCTTGACAAACCTTACGCTGTTGGCCTTCAAACTACTTAGATGCATCATACTTGACCAGTAGATGACCCATATCGATTTTGAAGTCAAGGGGGTCAAATGTCAAAGTCAG